GTGAAGTGGATGTCTCGAGATCTGCACTGACGACGACGTTTGAGTGGCTCATGGAGCTTTTCCTGCTTCCCCAAGAGCGGTCTCACGAATGACGTGGTGCTAAGACCCAAACATCTGACGTTTTGATGCAGGGTTTCTTAGCGCGTACCTACACACTTACAGGGCGCGTGATGTCATCTAGTGGCTGAACAAGGCTCAGCTCAAGGCTCATCAGTGCATAATTCAGTGAATGTCCCGAATACGAGACATTACTCACATTCACATTCATATTCACAGTCACATTCCTTAGCTGGTTCTGGGCGACATGTTATAGAGCATCATCTCATCATGTTAACGACAAGAGTTTGTGACGCGCACGACTTTTCTTTTCTTTCTTACTTTTCCACCTGTCGGACCCCCCCGGGAGCTATAGTCGCCAATAGCAATAAGCGCTTTGATTCAGTGAATGCTTGGCTGATGGATGCACTGCCTTGGCTCGGCAGCTGAAACCCGTAGACCCAAGACGTCTCTTCTCTTTTCTCTCTGTCGGCGGCTGCTGCAGTTGAGTCAAAGGAACTAAACATCCCTGTACAGTCACTGTCAGTCAGTCAGTCAGTCAGTCCAACTCTAACTTGGCCCGTCAATTGAGAGCAGACGTGTTTCAGTCTTGGCAGAGATCTGTTTCAAATCATCTGGCAGGACATGCATATTTTACGCTTCTCGGAATACGATTGGCCAACACCATCTCACATCTTGACGAATGCATCAACCGTCGCCAGGCCACAGACGAGACAAAGAGATTGTATATCTGGAACATGCTAATAAATAATAAGCGCCTCAGTCTCAGTCTCACTCATTCAGTCCTTGGCCCGTATACAACTGTCACCGTTGTCGTCTGGACAATCGCCCGCTCCTCATCATCGCTGCTGTTGCGAGGATCCCACATCTGAGTCTGAGTCTGAGTCTGAGTCTGAGCCCCAAACTTATTCAATGACTCTTGTCTCCGCAAGTGCCGTATCATCTGTTCTGGCTGTTCGTCTGTCTCATACGCCGTGACTTCGGTCGTCACGGGCTGCGCCTGGACGATTGTCTTGAGATCGAAACCAGGATCCTCAATCTGAACATCGAGTCTATCCTTCCGAGCTCTGTTCCTAATGCTCCCTATCGTCTGGAATGGATGTTGTCGTGTTCCTTTACTGGTTGCGGAGTATTGAACTGATGACCCACGTTCGCCGATGATATTGGGTGCGACATGGATGAAGAAACGACGAAGCGTCGTCAGCGACGCGCATATTATCAAGAGGTTGGCCTCGACAAAGCTGGGCTCGTTAGTCACGGCTATACTAGGGTCGAGTCGTACTCACATCCAAACCACTGCACTGGAGAGAACCCACGTGTAGTCGTTTGCATTCACTATCGGAACTAGTAGTACTAGTCGAACCACAGACGTTACAAGTGTTCTGTCTCATCAGTTAGCAAGTGCCAGCTCCCTCAATGGAGAATCACCTACGCAGAACCAATGACAAACAATACAACAAGTCCGGCCTTTTGTCGTGGTGGCATCTGCAGCTGCGGAATCATCGGTAATGGCATGATGAGAAGGATGAGATCTGAAAGAATGCCCAGGCCCGCTGTGCAGATGTACACTGCTCCTCGATGCACGCATGAGCCTTCGTGAATCGTGAGATCCCAACTCTTCTTGAACGGCGTACACCCGAACAGAACCACTAGCAGGATGGCTGGGTTATAGCCAGCAACGAGGAAAAAGACGCTGTACACGCTCCATTTCCACCACCGCTGCGGTGACAGCCTCCGGTAAAATAGCGCCAGCGCCATCTTGGAGCAGGCAGTACATACTGCGTATAGGATGGGAGATATAAAGGTGAGCTTGGGCATTGTTAGCATATGTCTGCCAAGGTTTACAAGGATCTTACCTGATTTCCTTCGTTGAACTTTTCGAGGGGGAGTTCCCAAGCATGTACTCCTGTTACCCCGAGGATGAATGAACCTGATACCGTCAACAAATATTCCGTCCACCAGGGACTTTTTGGTAGAAATCTTACTGAGAGAGACGGCTTGAACCGCTATGGAAAAGATCCACGCAATTACAAGGCAGGCTTCCTGTTCTTAGCGGATGACAACTTAATACAGATCGGTGCAAGGGTCTTACCCGTCTCCCCATCGGGTTTACGTAAAACCCAGAGTTTGACATATAAATACTGGAGAAAAAAAAGGAAAGCGAGCGCTGTGCCTATGCCTGAGATCACATATGACTCTATGGCATGTCGTTGTAGGGGATGATCAAAGTTGACCTCATAACCCTCTGGTGGTGGGATAGCGACTGTCACGCCGTCTACTATGGGGAATGCGGACATGGCGGCCTCGACGGCCTGGGATTATCAGCACGCTCGTTATTGTGATCGACGGATTCGTTGGTTGTTGGAGATACTCAAGAAAGTGATAGATGCGATTCGTCTTGGCGATTAATGAGTGTCGAGAAAAGATCGAGTTTCGAGACGACAATAAGGGGTAAGAGAGAATATTACAAGCCTATTGTATACGTCGATAACAAATCGACAATAGGATATCAATACAATTATGAATAAGCGCGCACCAGACGCAGAGGATTAATAAATTCAAAACAAAAGAAGAACGATACCAAGGCCAAGAATGAAGAGAATCAACATGTGAACATTCCAACACGCGACCTTCTTCCCTTCTATAAGATGATACTCTAACCAGCACAATCCAACAAATGCCCCGACCAAATCCTTCGAAACAACAGGTTTCATCCGGCGAGACCGCCTTTTTGGGGTCATTATGGAGTACGACGGTATAGTTGAGGACAGACCATCTTGTGATCTGGGATGTGTTGCAGAGCTAGAAGCATTGTTGAAGAGTTGGCGATGATCCACTGTGGGAGATCAGCGACAAGGATTGCATCGCATCGCGCGGCCGGAGAATATTCGAGATGGTTGTATATGAGATCTGATATCTTTGATCTTGCAGTTTGTGTGACCAAATCTTGCACATCAGTCATCATGCCTTGTAGTTCCTATTCACTATGTGATCAACTGTCCCACAACATCTCACCACTTCTAGAGCCATGCATCATCGTCACAGCTGAGCTCGCTAACAATCAACGCATGGATCACTTCAAGGCTGAACATTCTGCGGGGACATACCCAGCCTAGCTTCTTACAATCACTGCTTAGCATCGTCTCAGCTAAATTGCCCCGATGCTTATGCAAACATCCTCGCTCCTGACAAATCTCGCTCGTCCTGCAAGAGACCCAGTGTCAAGATGCGATTGGCTAGTCACGCCTCAGCCTTTGTATATCTGCTTGATGGCATCGTCATAAAGATGGCGCATGCTCTCCTCATCATCGGCCATCCTCCGTGCAGCCGTGTTCTCAAGGTGTACTATTTCTGGGAAGTTGTCACTTCTTCCATGTCCCCGAGCGTGCATCTCGATGAAGCGAGCTGGATGTGTTTCCGAAACACTCGATCCTCCGCGGCTCTGCGCAACGTCGACTAGTTTTCCAAGGACAGCGAACTCAAGCTTGAGTTTGATGGAGTATATGACGAGTTTGACGCCTTGCTCGATCGTATAGTGGTCCTTGTACATGATGATGAGGAGAGCTATGTCCATGGCTACGATGAGGAGGTTGATGATCAGGAGATACCACATTGTCTTTTGCTTGTTGCCTAGTGATGTCTGTAGGATATCGATGGTGCCCCAAAGGTACAGTCCTGAGATGACAAACTCTTGCGCGCAAAAGAATGTCATTTGAGTTTTCTCGATGGCGACGAATATGCGCGTGGGATTGTTGCCATCAACGCTCGGTCCAATCGTGAATAGCAGTGCTGTCTGCGTAGTGTGCCATATCGTGCCGTTGACCACAATCATCCATAGCACAGCGCGCTGTATTCTCATGTTGTTCAGTACCAAGTGCAGTCGTGAGTACAGCACCACGGACTGACCACTAACTAGGATGATCCAACCGAGCGACGCGATGGCCTTGCTCGCATCGGTGCCCAGGATGTCAAGGTATCCAAACAGCCATCCCAAAGCATACGGAAACACGCCCAAAGTGGTCAAGAGAAGACTCCAGAAGTAAAGACCATGATGTCGTTTAAAGGTGGTGAAGATCAAGGCAAGAAGCTCGAATGCATTGTATAGAGCGAGAGTAGAGGTGGCCTGAAATGGTCAGCGTTACCCAAGCTCGTGATTGAACTGACATACAATGACTAGAACTGCCTTGGGGCTGTATACCAGCTCACCCTCCCTCCTGTGTATCTCCGGGAGACGCATCCCAGACGATAGACAGCCTCTCGCCACTGAAACCAACGTTCGTTTTGATAGAGATGCAATGCCACCAAGACAGGATATAAAGAGGGATTCGGGTGTGACAAGTCACATTTCAATGCAACTGTAGATTATAGCATCATTGAAAATCTGGGGTAAAGGGAAAAAATCCGGGGGACCTGCCAGATAGTTCATTGGTGACAATGACGGGTTAGCCACAGACAGCCCCTGGTGCAAGACAGGAATAGCTTCATAGGGGCTATACTCCGAGAAATAGGTCACTTGCAACCTTAACAATACTTGTAACCAATAAGAAGGACATATATGCCCCAACGGTGTGTTCGATTTCTCTTCATCACTCGCATTTGAGTAGTGCAACATGTCATTGGCAGGGGAGAGTTACCCTGAAGGTTTAGGGTCGTGGAGAATTGCCATATCGAGACATCGCACAACTAAGAAACATTCGCCGTTCGGTATTTCTAACAGATGCTGATATATATGAAGATATCAGGTCCAGGATCTCGAAGATGTTTGATAATAATGAGATGAAGTCGATATGTATAAGCCGTTGCGCCGTGTTTAACCTTTATACTGCCGTGAACGTTGAGACCTTGACTGAAGCACACGCCACACCTTGTTCACATAAACAATAAAATCGACTCAAACGTTTTTATTTGTCTAGAGTTTAGCCTCTACTCCTCTAATTCTATCCTTAGAGCTTAAGACCGAAGCAGTTGGCATAGTAAGTAACAGTCGAGCTCCAATCCGAGAAGACACCAGCGACGCCAATCTCCCGGAAAACATTCAACAAGTTAAATACATCACCATCATTGTTGACCAGCTTCGCAATAGTCGTATAATAATAGTTGCCGTCCGCGCCGTTCTTCAGAGGACCAGATCGCTCCAGAGTCCAGGTGATGATCTTGAGACCGAGCTCATTCGCCTTCTTCGCATACGCGCTGGGAACGATCTTTCCGTTCTTACCGGGTGTGACGAGATAAGGCAGAGGGGGTGCGATATAGCGAACACCGTCCTCCTTGTAGCGGGTGAGGTTGGCGACAGCCTTTTCAAAGGTCTCGGGTGTGTCGCCTGTCTCATCGAGATACATGGCTTGACGAGCGTACTCAGGCTCGGCCTTGAGCCAGTACAGAATGTCGTCGTACAGGAAGCTCTGGAGATATACATCACTAGGCTTGACACCAGCCTGCTTGTGTTCGTCGATGAGCTGCTGGGCGTACTTCTTCTGGGTATAGTCGCCGTCAAAGGGCATCTTGACCTCAGGTGTCTTGAGCTCAGGAGTATGTTTTAGACCAAGGCGCTTGGTGAGCTGAATGTGCTCCTTGTTGCTCAGAACTGTACCGCAAGTAGCGTACAGATCGGTTCGCCAAGGTGGAGTACCGTGGAGGAAGTCGGCAGCGTTGGTGGCAGTGGCGTTGAAGCCCTCCATCTTGGCGCAGAGAGTCTTGAACTCCTTGAGGGTAATGTCGCTGGTGCAGCACTTGGCAGAAGCAGGCTTGCCATCCTTGGCGGGCTTGAAGGGCTGGGTGCACTTCTTGTTGAGCTCGGGGATCGTGACGATGTTGGTCGTGTAGTGAAGATCGCACTGAGAGTGTCGGCATACGAGCTGGCGATCCTTGGTGAAAGCAACATCGCACTCAAGAATACCAGCGCCCATTCGAGCGCCAGCCAGGTTCGACTCGAGAGAGTGCTCAGGGAACTGAAGAGTACCACCGCCACGGTGGGCAATTGACCACTGGGAAGGCTTCTGAGGCTTCTCTGAGCACGACTGAAGCTTCTTCTTTAGCGAACCCTCGTCCATGTCGTTGACGAGGTAGTAGGGTCGAGGGCCGAGCTCAATCTGCTTGATTGGCTTGACAGTCTTGAACAACTCCTTATCGCCATAGCTGGGGCTAGGAGCAGCCGCGGCAGGGCTGACAACCGCAAGGCCGGCAACGAGAGGAGTAGAGAAACGCATGGCGAACAGGACAAGTCAATTGATTGACAGAGGAGCAAGCAGGTTCAATGGAACAAGAGACACCGACAAGGCTTGGCGAGAACCAGCAATTGAGGCCTTAATCGAGACTGAGGCTTGACCAAACACCAAACTTCTCGATGTGACCCGGGCGCTCGCCAGGCTTTATGGACGAGAGAACTGCACATTGATCCGCAGCCCGATAGTCCTATCTGGGCAATGCACCGAGATGACGTCGCAAGATCCCCAGGAACAAGCCCATTCACGAAGAACACCCCTACAGGATGTGGTTTTTGTCGAACCTTCGGTGTTGGTTATCGGCCTAGAAGCGACGAATTGAGCAATCACATCGCAGATCACAGCACTTGTAGGCCAGCTTCTGCAAAGAGCATAAGGTCCCCGGAGCTAGCAGTAGGCCAAGTCCGTACGAGATGGGCATCTTTGACAAGCACGTGTGGAGGAGACGTGGGCGTTGTTCGAGGGGGAAGCTAAGAATAAGCTTAGCAGCGTTACACTGAATCGTTTAGCTAGAGGCGTGTTTAGTATGGACCTTGTGATTTGCCGAAACCTAGCTTAATTGAGCCCCTGCCATAGCCACGCATAACCTACAGTTCAGCCCCTGTATTTTTGTTAGCGCGTGACAGCCCTACCTTAAAGGCCAGGATATATTATAAATATATCTAAAATAGCTGTATTTTTCCTTAAAAATATATATAAAAATACCTATTTATATTTAAAATATTATTTATTTAATATTTATAATTTAAAATAAGAAAATAGAAAGATATTTTAGTAAAATAAGGTTAAACCCTTGTAGGTAGGTACCCTGCTAGCAAAAAAAACAGGGGTTAGAGTGTAGATAACCTGGTCGAGAGACAGGTATCGAGCATCTTTGGAAGGTGTATGGATAAAGTTGGCGAACCGTTCAATTGGAGGTCGGCGATTCGTGCATGTGCATACATGGGTAAGCCATGCTGTCATAACATCTCAACAGCTACCCAGGCCTAGCCAGGTAGTCGAGCACTTGCTTACCCTTTTGTACGCATGTCACATTACAACTCATCCTTGTTCCCCTCTTCCTTTGAGTCGTGGTCAACATCATGCCCCTTCCGGATCTTACGAACTTCCTCAGCTGTGACTTTGAAATGCTCAAATGATGGTGCATCTTCTCCAATGCCCCAAGCAAAAACTCCCCCGACTCCGAGCTCCGGCACGACATGGCTAAACTTCGTCTGAATGCTCTTTGTAGTGTCAAACGACCACCATCGCCACTCCTTCTCGTCCCAGTAAAAATAGCTTCCGTCTTCATCATACTTCCCAGCTGTTCTCGCATGCTTGAAAGATGTGGATATGTCCTGGGGAATATCGTCGTGCCAGCTAAAGCCGCCTGTCTTGCCTAGATCAGCTCCAGTCTCAGGGTCCTCAAGCAATTGCGTAGGGCACCCAAGAAGCTTCCCTTGTGAGCAGTCTTGGGTCATGAACCATTTGACATAGTATCCGAACCCAAGATTGAGCTGACTCGGTGATGCGCCCCGGTCGACATAACGCTGGATTGAGTCTTGAGAATCCGAGACACCGCTGTGATGCTTGGTCACGATATCTCTACGGTTCATCAGGTCGTACGTCATGATGTTGAGGAAGTCGACCTCTTTCATGATCTTTGGCACGGTGGTGGGTGTAAATGCCATCAAATCGACGTCTTTGCCCGGAACGGCCGCTGAAAGAAGTCTGTCTGGACCAATGGCAGCACGCAACTCCTCAAGGAGCGATACAAATGCATTAATTTCCCATTCGCGCCGGGAGTTGGGAATTCGCTTGTAATCATCACGGTTGCCTCTGTTGCAGTCAGTATGTACCTAGTAGTGACCAAGATTGCAATATTCCTTACCCGGGATACTCCCAGTCAATGTCGATGCCATCAGCGCCTGTCGTCGTGACCATAGCCGCAACCTGGCGCGCCCATCGCTTCCGCGTGGTTTCATTCTTGGCCGCTTCCTCGAAACCTTGAGTATCGCCCCATCCTCCAATGGCTACCATTACTTTGGTGCCGCCAGGGAACCTTTTGCGGACGTCGGAAACAGAGGTGAACAGCGGATAGTCATGAGGTTGATCATCAACATTGAAGGTCTCGGAGCGCATGAATGCTAGAATGACATGCGAGACATCTTCAAGTGCGCTTTTCGATGGGACAATATCATGTTGTCTAGGTATAATTTCAGTCAGTGAATATTCCCAAGTTCTTGCTTGGCGACCAAGGAGATGCACTTACCCTGTGAGATACATAACGCAACGGAATGGCTCAGCTTGAGACATGGCAGTTGCGGTCAACACCGCCAGGAATAGCAGATGCCATTTGAAAGTCATTCCGATGATGCACGTTTAGAAGGAATGTAAGTGCTTGACGATTGCCTACTTTATGCTGGACTGGAGAGGGCACTGATTGGGGTGGCACTTTCTCAATTGACCCGCAGATGAAATGTAGGTGTAGATGAGTGAAGTGGATGTTTTCTAGCCAATGCTTCAGATCGAGGAATCGTACCTCTATACTACTAAGATATCAAGCTGATTCACCAACAAACACAAAATGTCACATAAGATCTTTCAAAATCTGTTCAATCCCGTTCAAATTAAGCCGTGTTTCCTATTTCTCAATGCAAGTTCTTCCCAGATAAGAACCCGTTTGCGCCTGCGTTCTATCCTGTCTAGTAACATATGCCACAATAAGTCCCTCCCTCGCGGATCCATGCCTGGGTATTGTATTATACAGCGGATAAAACCGCGCCAACGCCAGAGCCTCCTAAAGAAATCTAAAGAAAATAATGCCAAAGAAAAGTCGTGGTATCGTGTTCGCTTCGTGTTCGTATCCTTCAATATCCCAGTCCTGTTTAAATCAGCCCTCGACTCTTGAGAATCCGACTGAGCTCCTTGAGTTGCACTGGCTTGGAGAGAAACAGATCCAGTCCGTTCGCAAAAGCATCCTCCTGCGCATCCTTAGAAGCGAGGCCAGAAATAGCGACAATATGCCTTCGTGGCAAATCCGAGGCCTTCTCAAACCCTCGAATTTGTCGTGTAGCCTCGAACCCATCCATTACCGGCATGGAAATATCCATCAAAATACACTTGTAACACCCTTCTTGAGCTTTGTAGCGCTCCAGAGCTCGGAGTCCATCCGAGGCCGAGTCGTACGCCACACCCAGCTTCTTCATGTACGTTTGTAGGATCTTCATATTAATAGCATTGTCTTCTACCAGAAGGAACCGTTGATCTTGGGGTGTTGGAAGTAGTTGCAAAGCGGGCACTGATGGCAACGGAGTCTGTGCGTCATCGTCATCCCAATGCGCCCTTCTCTTCTTAGGAGACATCGTTGGGGCAATATCAAAATAGCCGCGTTGCTTGTCATCTGAACCACCTTGGATAAGATCTGTTTCTGCCGTCGATACAGTCGGTGGCTCGTCGAGTCTAGTCGAGACGCTGGCACGATCTGCAGCTGTTGCTTGTAATTTCATCCAGCGCCTGAAGCAGAGGACAAAGGCTTTGGCAAGTTTCCTCGGTCCCACACTACATAAGAACGTCAGCGGTAAGGAACCATTAGCAACAAAAAGATGACTCACGGGCGCGATATAAAACTGAACAAGCCCCAATTGAGCTTGCGCTGTGACCTATGTGACCTATCAAGCGATCGAGCGACCGCAGCACTGCGACACACCACGACAACTGGGGACGATAGCTCGTCTCGTGGAAGGTTTGCCATCGTTTCAAGGTGAGATTCATCACAGAGTATCAGGTCAGGAAGATACTCGGTGTTATGGAAGGAGTCGACAACTTGCATATGCAGCCAATTGTGGCAGACCTTTTCCAGCAAAGCACGTTCGTCAAACTCCCTAGAGTTCCAACTTTGGCTTTCTGAGCCGCCTCCGCCGAGAGGTGTGAAGCCGTTGATGCAAACGCGGAGACCCGACAACTCAATGGCCTGGGACTGGAACTCCTCGCGGTCGGACATTGTTTCCGTCGAATCAACATTGACAGCTTCTAGTGGTAGTTTTACCGCGATGCGGGTTCCCGTGCCCACCTTGCTTTGGACATGTATAGAGCCTCCGAGGGCCCTGACAAATTTCCTCACCAAACTCAGACCAAGGCCAGCACCCGACGAATGAACATTCTCTTGAGCGAACGGAGCGAACAGACGGTGGTTGAGATAGTCTTGACCAATGCCAGCTCCTGTGTCGATGATATCGATATGAACGACTCGATCCCTTGACCGGCTTTGCCCAGGATGGTCCTGGTAGGCAGAGACTTTAACATAACCCCGTGTAGTATACTTGAGGGCATTTCCACAAAGATTCATGATTATGCGCCTCAGCGCCCCTGACTCAACATGGAACGCCCAGTCTACCGCCGGGTCAATGTCCAACATCACAAGGACTGCATCAGGACCAGCTCCATTACTGATCTTTTCTCCAGCCTTGATACTATCCGCAACGTCCATACCATCAAGGCGGGTAAGAGGATCACGATTGAGCTCTTCATTCGGCTTGTCATCGTGAACAAGCGAGAGTGATTGTTGTTGGTAGGTGTGGCCCGCATGAATACACTCCACAACTTCTTCCACCAACATGTCTAGATCTAGATTCGAAGTGATATGCATCATCCCGTCCGTTGGTCTACTTCTTTGGTTAGACTGTGAGCCTCTCACGAAGGCAATACCTGAGTTTGGCGACTGTCCACTAGGTGCCTTGACAAAGTTGTTGATGCGTGTCCAATCAAGCAAGTGATTGATGGTGTCCAGAAGTGTACGACCACAGACCTCAAGGGAGCGCAATACATCGCCCTGGAATACATCTAGTGCGGTATCGCGCAACAACTCGGCACACAGAACAATCCCATGAAGTGGAGACCGGAGTTCATGGGATAGGGAACTGAGTAAAGATGTCGTCGCCAAGGATACTATGGAACTCTCCATCATAGCAACGTCTGCCATGATGACTGCGCTGAAAGCGGCAAGGTAGCTCAGTTCCCCCTGGACTGTAAAGATGCGGGTTGGCGTCATTGTATAGACAAAACACCCGGAAAACCAGCGTTCTCTGTGAGAATCCCATAGAGGCACAAAGGCAACGCTGCGTGCTCCTGGGAAGACATCACGAATAGCCAGGCCTTCATTTTTCCGTGAATACGGATCGTTGACCTTCCGCGACTTGTGCTTGTCGCCCCCTTTCCCTTCTTGAATGCTCCGAGCCTTTTGGGCCTGGAAAGCGGCCATGGCCGAGTCCTCGCTCGTCGGATCACTCGATCCCATCATTCCGTCGCCATCGAAGTTAAAGATCTTGCCTTTTGGATAGCGTCGCAGTAGCCTCTGGAGCTGTCGTTCGGGTATAGTTCGACTGCGTCCTGATGGGGCTTCACCGTTGATACTGGAAGACACAGACGTAGAGAACCCAAGGACAGGGCACATAGCACCTGAGGACCAGGAGTCTGCGGAATTCCGGGGGGATGAGACTGAAATGTGGCCTCTACCTTGAGAGGACGAAGATGAGGAAGAGGAAGAGCGATCGTGGGTCCTTGTATTGCGGCGCAAAGAACCGGACCGGATTCTGCCAGCAAAAGAGCCAACACCTGCATCCAAAAATAAGACCCCTTCAACTTCAATCGACTCGCGTAGTATGTTTGCCGCTTTCGAGAAGATCTGGTTCAGCTGCTGAGATCGCGATTCTTCTCCAGTTGGAGCTGAATGGGGAGGCTTGTCTGTTGGATGGAACGGGCTTGTCGGCCTGTTCTGACTAGGGCTTTCAAGAACAAAAATATCTGGCGTGGATATGCTGTCCGTGTCGGCAGCAGCAGTGGGATTATCCCTCTGATTCTGGATCCTTTGTTGCGTCTGGTTGAGAGAACCCTCTTCTGTGCTTGCATCGGTATTGAAAGCATGAGCTGAACTGTTTTGCCATCCTGACAGGGTCGTCTTACCCTCCACGTAGCTTCCCAAACCGCGAACCATGCGCTCGCCAGGACGCCTGCCATCTCCAGATCGTGTCAGTTCCATTTGTCCCAGGATAGACGCTGAAACATCTCGCATGACTTGGAGTGATGCTTCGTCAAGTGCCTCCCGTGGCTCGTTGTCAAGAATACAGAAGACGCCAATGTTGATACCTCGGCGGGTTCTTATCGGTACTCCTGCGTAGAAGCGATGCTCTGGGCGTACATTGTAGTACCAGGTATTGCGATACTCTTCATTTTCAGCGAGGTTGCTTATAACTGTGACTGGGAGTTCCGAAGCGAAAGATGCTTGCTGTGGTCCGCCAGACTCGCGAGATACCAATACACGATCACAAATACCATAGCTTCGAGGTATTGCAGTACCACAAAGCCAGAGGCTATCGGAACCAGAACTAGGAGGATTGGCGTGAGCAGATATGCGAAGCGCAGGTGTAGCTTCAGCAATGATATGCTGGTGTTGACAGTCAAACAGCGAGATCATGGCGCGACAGGCGCCAAGTCTCAAGAGAGCCACCTGGGCCAGAGCTGTCATGGCAGGATCCGAGCATGGTCGCAATGAAGACGACGGAATAAGGTTTGCGACATCATTGCGAATAGAGTTGGCGACAAGGACCGAGTCATATCTAGTTATCTGTCAGACGAGTCCGTTTGAGAGGTTTCAATTGACGGCAAAGGATGAGGATGCGACGAGAGTGAGGATGAGAATGGTGCAAGGCCATACTTGAATATCTCCCGTTCGCGAGTTGATTCGGAGACCTTGTTACCAGTCATGATCAACGGCTGTAACGTGCTTAGCCCATGCAAGCAGCAAGCAGCCTCGGCAGGGGGAACAGATCGTCGGACGAGGTTGGGGGTTGTGTGGTTTAACAAGACTGGTTTAAAATAGCCTGCCCTTGAGAATTTAGCTAGATATTGGCAAGATTACTTAAGGATCCCTCCATCGTACTCCGACCTTGTCTGGGTCTAGATTCTAGGCTGTCCTTCCACTCGAATCTTGACCTATCGCCACCCCGCTTTGCCCTCTAACGGCCCTAAAACCAACCTTCAGTGGAGCCACCCGGGTGCTTACCCGTGGAGATCTACCGCCTGAGTTCCATTAGCGACAGAAGATCGATCGATTTGCCATGAAACCTCCGGCCTCTCATCTCATGGATAAGATTTTATGGGCATCTGACTGAGTCAGGGACGCATAAGCTCGAGGTCATCAGATGCTCTTAATTTCTTGAATCATAAGTCACGAAGGGAAATAAATATACGCTGCTTGCATTCATAACACGCACTTGGAAAGGAAAAACAAGGACAAGATATCAATGACGAATTTATGATACGCTCTCCAATTGATAGCAGTTTCCCATGTTCAAAAGTGCATCTACAGCTGGGAAAACAAGATGTTTTGCATACCTTGAGCTTTTAGGGTGGGTGGGTTTCTGGACGCTGGAGCTTCGCACCTCAGTCTAGGTAGAATTCAATGGGCCCATTTATTTCAGTACTTGCGACTGGTAACAGTAGTGGGAATACTCAACATTGCAGGAGTTTATAGGGGCTCAGAAGAAGCTCTGGGAGATAGGATGTATTGAAAGATGTAATGAGTATAGTTTTAAAGAAATTAATTAACAGTCTTGCGCTGTGATACCCACCTCAGCGCTCGGTGTTCCTGTTGAACTTGACCCAAAGACAGTGTGAACTAGTGTTATCGGTGCGATAACACAGTGACTTCCATTGGCTCGAGCTTCTTTTTTTTCTTCATCCTTTTCAAGCAATGCTATACAAGTATACCTGACTGTTTTCTTTTTTTGAGTAACTGTTAAGCATTGACTTCAACATGTTCGAGAATACATGTACACTACCTCTGTCGGCAGATGTATTCGCAACAGCCCTCCACCCCACGGAACCACTCCTAACCGTCGGTCTATCGAGTGGCCATGTCGAGACCTTTCGATTGCCATCCAGCTCTTCTTCCGACGACAATGCCGATGCCGATGGTGACACGAGCGTGCTAAGCGACGGAAAGAGTATGATCGAATCCGTCTGGCGCACTCGAAGACACAAGGGAAGCTGTAGATCCTTGGTCTACTCGCACGATGGCTCCGGTAAGCTTTTCATGAGCCTTGCTCTGACTGTTCATTGTTCGTCAAGCTAACCCGTCAAAGCTGTCTATTCGGCTGGAACCGATGCGCTGGTAAAGCACTTTGACCCCAAAACCGGTCAAGTCATTTCAAAATTCGTGATTCCTTCTGCAACTACGGTTCCCGATGCGCCGACCCTCCTCCACGTCCTGAACCCCCAGAGCCTGCTTCTTGCGACCGACTCAGGTGCCCTTCACATCATTGACCTCAAGGACGGCAAACTGGGAAAGAAACCCGTTCAGACTCACTTTCCCCATGCCGACTACGTCTCTTCCATAACACCTTTGCCGCCCACTAGCGCCAGCACCAGCGGATTCCCCAAGCAATGGGTCAGCACTGGCGGTACCACGCTCGCCGTGACCGATGTTCGGAGAGGAGTGCTTGTGCGCAGCGACGACCAAGAGGATGAGCTGCTATCCTCTTGCTTCGTTCCCGGCTTGGGCCCTAAAGGACATCGCAACAACGGCGTTTTGGCAGTAGGATCCGGCTCGGGTGTATTGACCATGTGGGACAAAGGAGCCTGGGACGATCAACAGGAACGAATCATCGTAGATGGCGACAAGAAGGGCGGCGGGGAGAGTATCGATGCCATGGTCTTGGTCCCACAAGAGTTGGGACTTGGCAAGAAGGTCGTCTGCGGTGTAGGTGATGGTAGCTTGCGTGTTGTTGACCTTGTTCTTCGGGAGGTGGACATTTCAGCCAATTTGCGTCACGACCATATGGAGAGCGTTGTATCGCTGGGTTTCGATTGTGAGAATCGCCTTATCAGCGCTGGTGGAAGAACCGTAAAGCTTTGGGAAGAGCTATCTGCTCTTCAGGGAGGCAATGACGATGATGACGAAGAGGATGAAGATGACGACAGCGATAGCGATGATAGTGACGCTGGAGAGAATGGCAACGGCAAGCGAGCTGCTGATAGCGACAGCGACGACGATAGTGAGGAAGACCAAATTGCGGAGATGAAGCGCAGGGCAAAGCGACGCAAGGAGACCCAACAGAGCAAACTTGGGCCCATGGGAGCTCACGGCGTCATGGGGTTTGAGGGCTTGGATTGAGTGGGATTTTTTTGGCGACGAAAAAGCTGTTACGATACCCGGCGTAGATACGATAAAATAGTGCGATCAGACGGTCAGAATGGCCAAAGCCTAAACCACGAAACAAGTTACATTTCATTACAAGTTTAAGAGAGAAAGATCAATGCTGATAACCTTCAATTTTTCCATATATGGCTATCTATCTAATTTGTGAAGAAGCCCACCCTAGGAGGTGGACATCCAACAACTCATGTGCAGTTGGTGGTCTTCCGAAACGAAGCACGATCACGTACATAGTGAAATAACCAAAAACCCATTCGTGTTGAGTCGGGGAGAAGTACCCCTCGGTCGATGCTACACGGCCTTCGGTGATAGTTCTTTGAGGCCCAGTAGCCTCACGTTTTGACTCGAGACCCAAAAGTCTCTTTTGATGAGTCTTCTCGAAGCCCAGTAGCTTCGGAAAATACAAGTGCACTTATTCTATCCCGGGAAAGGGGCAGAAGCAGATACCTTGCCATTACATCAAGGTTTGCGTCTGAACCGGTGACTAGAGAAGGACTCGAAGCGGCATCGTCCCTAAAAATACTCTATCAGAGAATTGTGGAGGATAAGCCGGTGGTCTATGTCTTGCAGAGCAGGGCGCGATATCTCGGTGATGCAATGCAGAGTACTAGAAAACTCTGCAAACCGGGTGTCATCCTCCTTTCTCCATGATTCCTCAACCGTACGAAGGGTGAGGCGGGTGGGTGGCGTGCGTTGTGCGAATATCGCAAAAATCATTATGATCCCATATCCGAGAAATCGGCGTGAGGTGGGGGATCCTGGTATGAGAATAGGAGGCCGAAGGGCTCCTCACTGGTACAAGACAATTGATTTAAAAAGAGATTATAGGAAAGATATCCAGATGGACAAGACCAGCAGGTGCTAGACGCCTGGAATGTGAAGGTAGCTCCAGCAGGCATCTTCTGATTTGGGCAGCGTGTCGGCTCGAGCAAAGTCCTCCATGACTTTCTCATCGCTGGGCGCTGAAAATCGAGTTGGAGAGCTCATGGTGAGGTTGTCGTCGTAGATGATAACGGTGGGAAGTATCCTAGTGCCGTGAACGCCGCCCTTCTCTTCAGAAGATGAATCGCTAGGTCCTCCGCCTGGGTGTAGTTCGCTTGCACTGTATGTCGTAGGGATGCAAATATGAGGGATTCCTTTCCGTATGCCAACAGCTCGGGCCAAAGTAACAGCGGAACCTCCGCCGACGCTGACAACGCAATCTCGTCCAGACGCCTGGGCTGGCACGGTGGTATTAGATGAACACAGAATTCGACTGTCGAGATTAGGAATGATGGCTTGAATTTTGCGAGCGATATTTGATCTCGAAGGGCTCGACACAATGAGCGGTGAAGACAAGTGTAACCGAGCCAGCTCAGATGGTAGACGATGAATTGCGTCGGGGCCGACGACTAAACGAGGTGATGAAGAAGAAGGACGTTTTGGTCGGCGATGTCGAGATCGAGAGGAGGGCCGCTGGGCCGTGCCGGGCGGACCAGCGTGCGAAGATGGAGGAGACAAGTTGGTGGCTGGCGGCGTCACAAGAGCGGACGCCTTGAGGGCGAGAGCGTCAACAAGCTTGTCACGGATAGCAACAAGATCAGGATCAGTAACTTTTCGTGGTGACAAACGATGAAGGCCGTTGGTGGAGTGGTGCATGAAGGGCCGATGCCGGCTGGCCGGAGGTATCCAGTAGCGGTAGCGGGTATTGAGGTTTATCGAAGTCCAACGTGCGCGACATCAATCAAGTGCCCAAAATGACAACAATATTGGATTGAGGACTAAAACTGGAAAAGAAGGAATCGATCGAGATTTGATGAAAGTTCAGAGATTCACAAGTTAGAGACATAGCACAAGGTGAGCTAGGGCACATTATTATGGGCAGATAGAATAGGCGTGACCTGTGACGAGACGAGACCAGATCAGACGTTTGAGCGAAAATCCCTTAGCAGCCAGCGCCTGTTCTACCTGTGAGAGGAAAGTGACCGTTTGTTGTGTAATTTTTCGCCACAGCAAAAAAAGACGCCACCTCTGCCTTTTGACTAGGGAACTAGGAGCTTAGGCGTAGGACAACAGGAAATTTGATCTCTTTGTTTTTAATAATACATAAAAAAAAAAGGGTCCAACCGATGGTCTTGGGGCCGAAGATGGGGATGGGGATGGTCAAGCGGCAACGCCTTGTCTGTTTGGTGACAGTCCCTGCGTGAGACCCTGAAAACCTGATGTAAAAGGGGGCAAAAGGTGTATTGTTTCTGTCATGAAGACGTCAAATGTGAATGTGTAACGGAGGGGGGGATGCTCTTGACCCCTAGGAACACACAGGAGGCAGTTTATCCGTCCCGGCCGGAGGGTAGCTCCGTCAAGTGGAGCAGTGATCGGAGACAAAGTCTCGTAGTGACGGAGCAAGTCCGCCAATGAGAAGTGATATGGAAGATCGTGGTTGGCTGCGGACATGGAAGGAAGAGAAAGGATGGGCAAAATCAAGAAACGCATCCCCTTGTGTCATAAAACCCATATTACCTCAGTGTTGGCATTGAATGGCAATATGATTGGTTGTTCTTTCAACGCT